GGGCAACAGGGACTTACTGTTCAATGGTACAGACAGAGTTTGAATCTGGCCACATGAAGATGTTCTGGAGGTGGATGGTGGGTGCACAACAGTGTGAATGTACTATCACCGATCGGTATACTTGAAAATGGCTCAAGTGATACTTTTTTTATGTATAGTTGTTCACAATTTTAAAAATAAAGCAAAGTAGGGTGGGGAGATAAACTGAGAGAGTAAGTTGGGGTCAGTGTGAAGAATGTAACAGGATTTTGGCTACATTCCTCATTTTCTCTGGGAACAAAGAATGGTAAGGGAAACGGATCTTTAGCTACAAAAAGGGCTGCAGAAATGATCTCCCCTCATTGGAACAATTCCCAGTCAGGGCCCATGCCCGTGTTGCAGGCTGGATCCCCAGTGGGGGATGTGCAGGAGGCAGCAGATCAATGACTCTCTCATCATTGATGTTTCTCTCTCTCCCCCCTCCCTTCCTCTCTCTGAAATCAATAAAGATATATTTAAATAAATAAATAAATGGTGAGGAAAAAATCCAAAACAAACAAAAAAACCCCATCCACTTTGTACACCTCCCAGTGCCCTTCTAGCTGCTAGATGGGATGTTGCCCAGATTCATGAATTGCTTTAAAAAGTCAATTCGATCTTCAAATTTACTCAGTTGAATTTTGTTTAACACCTTCCATGAAATTTTGCAATTTGCTAAATGAAGGTGCTGAGGGTGGCAGTGACCTTGTTCATTTCAGCTTTTTCTAGAAACTTAACCCTACAACTCCCAAACCCAAAGCCCTACCTCTAGTCCCAGCCCCATCCCACCCACATACCACGAAAAGCAAACAAATGCCAAAACCCTGTCAGCTTTCAAGCCTTTTGAAATGGGTTGTTGACAGTGTGGCTAGTGTTACCAAAAGTCTCAGGACAGGCACTGTGTGTATTTGTGGCACATCACTTTTGCTCCAAGATTTGGGGAAATATTTTTATATTAAAAGAAACTAGGTTAAATCGTGGAGAAGAACTCCTAGTTCACATTTTAAAAAAATGATGGAATTCCAGACTTCAGAGAAACTTCTTTCTTGCAGGGGAGGGAGCCTTCCTCTTTCAGAACCCCATGGGAGCCTCCACGGGAGCTCGAGAAGGTCACTATTGCAGAAACATTTGAGCATTTTTGGCTCTGTGCCCCCTGGGGCCTGGCTCTGGGCCTCCCCACTGGCTTGGGCTGCAGCTCCCCAGGGGTATTGCGTTCCTGTTAACATCTCCTCACGTTTCTAAAGTCACAGCTTGTCAGCGCTGGCGAACCTGAGAGCTACTGCCAGGTTCCAGCTTGTTGATTTCACAAGAGGAAATGAAGAATCAGCATCTTTTAAGGACTTGCCCGGGGCGGGGGTTGGGGAGGTGGGGGCTCAGGTAGGTTTCCCAGGCCAGGGATCTTCCCAGAATCCTTAGCTGCCTCCATCCTTTAATCCAGCAGGAACTCTGGGCTCCAGTGTACGTGCAAAGAACCTCATCTTCCACCCACCCCGGGCCCATTCTTCACCCTGTAGTTCCATCCTTGGGAGCCCTGCCTCTCCACCGGAGTATCTGGAGCCGCGGGGGTGCTTAGAACTAAGTTTGGGGAATGAATGGCTGCTGGTTCCGACACAAATGCATCAGAGCCCAGGGGCTGGTGGAGGAGAGATTTGGTTGTAGGACAGGAGGACGGTGAGATTTGCTCCGCATCTCCCCCTGCGGCCAAGAGAGGGGTCGGGGGTCTGGGGTCAGGGTTGGGGGACTGAAACAGATCTGATCCAGGGCGCAGGAGCAGGAACGCATGTCGGCGGGATCAGCCTCTTTCCTCCGCCCACGACCCGCGGGCGGGGGCGCAGCGGCGCGGGCCGGCTGGTGCAATCACCCGCACGCCTTGCATACATCAAAGGGCTGAAACCCTAAACCCCAGCGGAGAAACGGCTTCCGGCCTCGGCTAGCGAGCGCGACCAATGGGGGGTGGGAGCCCCGCTGAGAGGACCAATCATAGCAGGACCTGCTACATGCGCGGGCCAATCGGAGCGCCAGCTGGGCCAGGGAAAAAAAGGCCGAGGGTTGGCGCAGGCGATCGACTCGCGAAGCCAGAGCGGCCGGTTCTCTCCCGCCTCGTTGCCACCTGCGCCGCAGCACCATGGACGCCCCAAAGCAAGTGGTCAACTTCGGGCCCGGGCCCGCCAAGCTGCCGCGCTCGGTAAGTCCCAGCGACCGCGCACGGAAAGCGCAGCCTGGACGTGAGCACGTGCGCGAGTGGCTGTGCATCTCTGCGCTGGGAGCTGAGCATCCTGTGCGGGGAGCTCTGCATCTCCGCTCCGGGCGGTGGGACCCCCACTCCCGCTCCGAGTCCCCCGAACTGTCTGTACCAGCGTGCACCCAGTTCTCTCGCAGGTGGGCTGGAAGAATACACTCCTGGGAGGAAGCTCGGGCAGCATTGCCCGTGCAGCTGCCCCGAGGCGTGCGCGCCTCGGCCCTCCGGGGCGTTGCTGGCCCGTCGCTGGAGCGCACCTGGCGACTCCCGCAGGCTCCTTTCGCTGGCCCAGGGGTGGGCGCGGCGGGAAAAGCCCCTCTCATTCCGCGTGGGCTTTGCGGGCAGTGCAGCGAGCCGGGCAGTGTCGAGGGGATGCTTGAATGGACATGGTCAGTGTGAATGAATGGCGAATGGGAATCGCGTTAACTGGAGGGGATGGAAAACTAGAGGCCCACGCCTGGCTGCCGGAAACAGCGTGGGGGTTAGACAGCTTTTGGGAACATTGTTTTTCAAAAATGTAAATTTGAAAGCCTTCCAATTCCTCCTTGTCACGCCCGGAACTACCCTTCCCTAAACCCTTTTAGTCCGCTTTTTTTTTTTTT